AACGACGAACGCACATTTTTCTGGGTTCAGCTTCATATTGTATTTCTTCAATATGCTGAAGGTTTCCTGCAAATGTTTTAAATGGTCATCTGCTCGCAGGGACTTAACCAACATATCGTCAATGTAAACTTCCATCGATTTTCCTATTTGTTCTTCGAACATCCGATTTACTAAACGTTGGTATATGGCACCAGTATTTTTTAATCCAAACGACATTACATTATAACAATATGTGCCATATTTAGTGATGAAGTAGGGTTTTTCCTGATCACCTGGGTCCATCCGTATTTGGTTGTACCCGGAATGGGCATCGAAAAAACTGAGGATCTCGTGGCCGGCCGTGGTATCGATCATACAGTCGATGTTGGGCAAAGGAAAAGAGTCTTTGGGCATGCTTTATTCAAATCTTTGTAATCTACACACATTCTTAGTTTATTCCTTTTTTTAGGGACTACCACTACGTTTGCTAACCAATCCGGGTATTTAACCTCCCAAATAGACCCTATTTTAAGGAGTTTAGATACCTCGTTCTTGATGAAAATATGTATGACCTCGGACTGAGGCCTCCTCTTCTGCTTGACCGGATTGATTTTCGGGTCCAGGCTTAGTTTGTGAGTGGTTATCTCTGGTGGGATCCCTGTCATATCAAGATGGGACCAAGCAAAACAATCTATATTAGTTACAAGGAATTGAATAAGTTTTTTCCTGAGCTCGGGAGTTAACCCCGTGCCTAGGTATACCTTCTGATCGGGCAGATGCTCGACCAATATAACATGTTCCAGCTCTTCGACCGTTGATTTGGTTGCGTCTGAGTTATCGGGGATTATAAAAGATTGGGGGACCTCGTAATCATTGTCTTCATAAGTCCCCTGCTTATCCGATTGGGTCGTGGCCGGTGTCGGTGACTGCTATTTGGCCTCTTGGTTTGCGCCCGAATTTGGTTCCTTCGATGTTGTGAGTACTGATATTAGAATCACTTCTTCGACTGCAAACATCTCTTTTGCGGCCGGTTGTTCCCCGTAGACAGTCTTAATCCCTTCTGGAGTTGGGAATTTTAACACTTGGTGAAGAGTTTAGGGCAATGTCTTCATGTTGTGGATCCACGACCTTCCGAGAAGGGCGTTATACCGCACGTCTCCTTCGATCACATAAAACTTGGCCTCTCATATGGTTCCGGTGATATTGACCGATAACGTTATCTCCCCCTTAATGGTTTTACATGCCATGTTGAACCCGTTAAGAATTCGGACTGCAGGCACGACTTTGTCTCGTAGACCGAGCTGTTCCTCGACCCTCGACTGAATAATGTTGGCCGAGCTACCTGGATCAATCAACACACGTTTAATTCGAGTTTTATTTACGAGTACAGATATTACCAGTGCATCATTGTGAGGTTGTACGATCCCTTCCGCATCCTCATCGCTGAAAGATAAAATTCCTTCTGGTACGTAGTCTCGAGTTCATTTCTCCCTCGTGATGGATATTTTGGTGCGTTTCAACATCGGCCCTTGTGGGATATCGACTCCACCGATGATCATATTTATGATGTGTTGAGGTACGGTATCTTCTTGTCCTGTTTGTTTGTTAGAATCCCTGTTTTTAAAGTGGTTCTTGGCTTAGTCGCTCAAAAATTCTCGAAGGTGCCCATTGTTGAATAAACATGCCACTTCTTCTCTCAGCTGTCGACAATCTTCCGTTCTATGACCGTGAGTGCCATGATATTTGCACATATGGTTAGGGTCCCTTTGAGCCGGATCATATTGCAGAGGTCGAGGCCATTTGGTATCACTGATGCGCCCGATAGCAGATACGATGGCGGCAACATCGACATTAAAGTTGTATTCTGATAACCTCGCCGCTTCTTTAGGCCCGATGGACCTGTCGAAGCTGTTTTTGGTCATGAGCCCCCAGTTGCTTCGACCATGATCATTTCTCCTGTCGTTTCTTACAGGGTTCGGCCCTGACCTGCTGCTCTTTCGATCTCTATTATATGGTAGATATTGATACATGTTTGATCTTGGCTCACGGTCGATGTCTCTCTTGACTCTTTCGAGGGTTCTAACGAGATAAACAGATTCTGAGGGGGGGCCGAGTTGGTCATCTTCAACTCTGATTTTTGATTGATGCCGGTTATGTACATCTGCCCAGGTAACAGCAGGGTATTCTATCAGATTCTGCTTCAATTTGTTTGAAGCCACCGAGCTCCGAATATTGAGTCCCTGAGTGAAAGCTTGAACATACCAATCATCAGCGACTAGCGACAGGTCCATTCGTTCCATTTGCAAACGGGACACGAATTCTCTGAGTATCTCGTTATCCTTCTGTTTAACTTTGAAAAGGTCTGATTTCCCGGTCTCGGCCTTGATGGCACCAGCATGTGCTTTCACAAAGGAGTCTGCAAGTATAGCAAATGAATCAATAGAATTAAGAGGTAAGTTGTGATACCATGTCATAGCTCCTTTTGACAGGGTTTTCCCAAAAAATTTTAGCAGAACAGACTCGATCTCGTCGTCTTCCAAGTTGTTCCCTTTGATGGCGCATATGTAAGAAGTTACATGCTCGTTTGGATCGGTCGTTCCGTTATACTTAGGTATTTCAGGCATACGGAATTTTTTGGGGATTGGCTTTGGAGCCGCGCTTAAAGGAAAAGGTTTTTGCACGAACTTCCTGGAATCCAGTCCTTTCAATATCGAAGGTGCTCCTGGGATTTGATCCACCCTGGAATTGTAGGTTTACACCTTTTTGTTGTTCGCCTCGATTTTCTTTTCTCCCGATTCTACCTGCTTTGTCATCTCCTCGAGCATCTTTATAATCTCGGGATTAGTACCTGATTCTTGTTCATTTGACCTTACTATGACCGGTTCATTTCTGCGGGTGACTTCACGGGGCGGATCGGGTTCAACCCTGCTCGACGTTTGGTTTTGGCTCTGCAACTGAGCTATTGCCACCTGTTGAGCTTGCAGCATTTCGAAGATCATCCGTAGGCAGATCCTGTCTTCTTTATTATTGTGTGTGTTTCGAGTCGCCGATCGGGCCCTACCACGGATGTTATTTCTAGGGTCGGTAGGCAAGTTGGCGCCGATCGCCACATGTGAATTAACATCAATCGGGTCTGCGATCGTAATTCCTACGGGACCAGCGGGTGGCCCTACGTTACCGCGCACTATGTTGTTATTCTCACCATGATGACCGGACTCGTTGTCGATAGGTAGGGGTGCTAGTTGAGAGTTTGTCATTTTTAGCCTGAAATCAAAGACACTTCAAAGAGCAAGTGTAAAGTAGTGTGTGTTATGGATATTTGTATCAAATAACCACTATTATCCTTGGCCCACGTTGGACGTCAAACTGTTTACCCTCAAAATCGGATAACAATTGAATTTGTTAGTGGTTATAAGGACATGTGAATTAACTTGATACAAAGCGCAAAATTAAATTGCAATTAAAATAAATAGCGATAAAATAACTGCAAACCACAGGAATTGGATGATTTCAATTCTAAGAATGTTAGCCACCCTTGAGTTTGAATACACTTTTATTGACAGAAAAAATATCAAAGAGTGGGAGCTTGAAAAATGTATTGCTTATGAGCGTATGTTACCATCTGTTTAATGGATTGTCAAGTCCCCTTTATATATTGAGGGAGACCTACCCCTTAGGGTATTATTTAATTGTACTATAAAAACATAAGTCCTTAATTTTGGAAGATCGTTGGTTCCCTTTTACACGATTTCTGCCATAATGACTGGTTAATGGCGAGAATTACGGACCCTTATCGGATGAGTTGGCAAAGCTTTCTTCGAGACCGTTAGAAACAGGATCGGTTACGCCTTAGGCAAACTCGAAGGCAAACCTAATGGTTTCGATGGCTAATTTTGATAGTGCTTTGGGTTCGATCATAACAATCATGTGCCGATCTCGGTTAGTGGTGTTAATCGTTAGATCGATCTTTGAGCTCGACTTCACCCGATCACAAATATTTTGACCCTGGCCTAATAAAAGAGTTCGGAAACTCGATCAAATATCGAGCTCGATTTTACCCGTATACAAATTTAACTACTGTTAGAGGACATATTTATTATTGCTAAAATTCTTTTTCTGTTTTGGTGCTGTTTTTTCGCGTAGCATGTACATGTACAGTACATACTTGAATGTTACTTAGTACTGCCTTTTACATTGTTACACAGCAAAAAATGCAGTTACAAATAAACTTGTCAATCTAGTAACACAAGATTTTGTTTTCCCGAACTAATGAAAGATGGTTCGAATCTCAAAATTCATACTGTTATAGCGTACATAATTAGAAAATCCAAGGTATATTACACCAACAAAAGTGCTCTTCCCCTAATAATTTTTAGATTTTCTTATGATTCATACTAATGCAAAGAGGAGGGTTCCCAGCTTCTTTTACCTTACTTTTACTCATTAGGATTCCCAGCTCATTAGGATTCCCAGCCTACTTGATAGAGTACATATATTGAAATACATCAGTTGCAGTTGACTAAGGCTATTTACAAATGATAAATCTCTTTAGTTCAGACAAACTAATTTGAATGCATAATACGTAAATAATTTAGTCCATATCTTTCATTGGTATGGTTGTACATGTCCTGTAATAAAGATGACTTTTTCACTTTAAGTAAGAGCTAACACAATTCACTTATTTCAAAGCTGGAAAACTACCCCACAATGGAACCAAAAATATAACATTATCAGATATAGTGGTGGTCGGAAGAAATGACTTTTAAGAGTGAACAATAACTTATGGAATATGTACAAACTTCTAGGGCTTCCATTGTTGTCAACACCCATATGAAATTACTCCAATGTATTAGTCTTCGGTGTATAAAATCACTCACCATCAACCCAAAAGAAAAAACCATCCCAAGAAATTCAATTTCAACTATAACTAAAATGGGGAAAAACATATCATTAGATTAAGGGCATAACCTGGTCCAAATGAGACCAATATCATCAAAAACAATTAAAAAAAGAACCAAAAAGAGACCAACTTATCAACTTTATTTGAGATTGCAATGGAAAGGTATAACAAAATGAAAGGAAAAAGATTTCTAAGACACTCAATGTACCGGTCCTTATGCCTATGCAAGGGCATTCCTCAGGGCACTTGACATCTTCGGTTTTATTTGCTGAATCAAGTTCTAATAATAATGAAATGAGAAACTACATAGCGAAAATGCTAACACAAACTACTAAACCAAGTGATATACATGCTTTTTCATTGCGCAGGCTAGGAAAGAGAGACCCATTAAATCTCAAACTACAAGACCTCATATAAGTGTTGCGCCGTGTTTTAAGTTATAAATGTAATAAAAGTATATACCTTGAGTCCTGAAAATAAGTTTCTTATCACGCAAGCTGGTAAAAGAAACCCTTAAAATTTCAAACTACAAGGCCCAATGTAAGTATGCACCGTCTTTTTAGTTTTAAATGTCACAAAAGTACATACCTGAGCTCCTGAATTTGAGCTGAACGCCAGTAGCCAAACAAAATACAATATAATTTCCTGCAACCATGAGATTAAAGGTACCTGTGTTGAAATCCTTCTAATTTGTTGATTCAGAATGATACTGAGCAAGTACATATCTTCATGGACTTTCCTGTCCAACAGGGATTATTTCACAAGTTAATAAAGGACGCGAGTAACTAAATCAAATGAAATGTAATTTTCATCTATCGTGAAAGCAGCACATAATCATGAGTAGAGAAACCTAACATAAACTGAAGTCCAGATTCACCTCTTGCAAACATATCATCAAACACCTCGGATGCATAGTCCACTTCAAATAAGTTGTTGGTAACAAAATTCATCAAAATGATATAATGCATGTAAAAATCAGGAACAAATACTAACATGCATGTAAAAAATCTAACAATTATTAAAAAAAAAAGAATAGGGAACTAACATTCATATACACACGGTACAAATAAAGAAATTGCAATAACAAAGAAAAGATTACACAAAATAACTCCGAAAACAGAGAACTCACACCAACAAAATAGACAAACTCTGAGAAAGAGAAGACTAAGAAACACATGAACTATACTACAATGACAAGCCAAGCACATATACATCAGCATTTCCGTTCAAAACAAAAAAAATGAGCAAAAGAAAAGAGGGAAAAGAATTAATACAACTGGTAAAAGAGGGAGGAACAGAAAAATTAAAAGAAACCAAACGATTAAAACACTAAAAGTAAACAAAAAGGAAATAGAGAAGAAGAAGAACCCACCATAAAAAGAGAAAAGAGCAAACAGAGAAAAGCTGAAGAAGAAGCACAACAAGAGAGAGAGAGAGAGAGAGAGTGAATAATGAAAATAGAAATAAAATGCTTAAGAAATTCACAAAAGCCAATTTGTGACGTGGGTCTGTCCACATAATAGTGGAACCATCAATTGACACCATAAATTTAACAATATGAAATGAGCAACGACGTGTATAACGTAGTTAGGCTTGTTTTTTACACACGCTGCAATTACCGGAATAACCTTCGTCGTACCAAGGACTTCCTCTTATTATATGTAGAAAAAGATGTTCAATTTATTAATAAAAACTTTACTCACTTGGAGCTCCAAGAATTTCTTTAATAATAATAATAGAAATCAAAAGAAAAGGATTTTTTTTTTCTGAAAAAAAAAAAGAAACTAGAGAAGTTGTATTGAAATTCGTACCTTCATGCACCCCCGAGTCTTAGAGCCTATTTGGCCAACCTTCTAGAAAGTCAGAAGTATTTTTTTAAGTGAAAAAAAGTATTTCTTGAAAATTTTATGGTGTTTGGCCAAAATAAAAAAAATACTTTTGAGTAGCAGCAAAAAACAGTTTTTCTGCTTTTGGAGGAGAAGCTACAGATTCTAGCTTCTTCCAAGAAGCAGAAACAGAAGTTAATTTATTCAAGACAAAAATGACCTTACAATAAATTTATATTTTTTAAATTATCTCTCATTAATTTAATATTTTTCTTTTCTTTTTCCTTTTTCTTTTTTATTTCTACTACATATTTTTTCTCTTTTTTATTTCAATCATATTTTTATTCTCTTTCTCTTATTCCTAAGAGTATATTTTAAATTTATAATTAATAGTGTATTTTGCTATATTTAAATTATCATATAAACAATAAGCAATACCAAACACTCAATGTTATTGTTTTGAATAACTGTATTTTATATTTATTTTCTAAATAATACTAATTGCAAATTGAACTTTTAATGTTCTTTTTCGTAATTTGATACTTAAAAATACCTTTTTAAAATATTGGCCAAACACAATGAGCTTGCAAAAAGCACTACTCAAACGAATTGGCCAAAAACAAAATGATATTTTGCAAAAGTACTTTTTCAAAAAGTATATTTGAACAAAAATACTTTTTAAAATAAGCAGTTTTTGGCAGCTTGGCCAAACGGGCTCTTAACCTAATGGTAAATGAAACGAGTTGAGAACCATGAAATCTCGTATTTAAATCTTATTTTTTTCCATTTAAAATTATGGACAAAGTTACCATATAACTTTGAAATTAATTGAGATACATATAAGTTGGTCCGTACCTACAATTATAAAAAAAAAAAATCATTCCTTCTTGCCATTTTTTGGTTTTTACATTTTCTGCGACACTTGGTACTATTATGGTTCAAAATCTAACTAAATCCCTACTAATACTCTCGTTAACATGTACAAGAAATTGTGTCCAAATTTCTGCACAAAACCATCCTTTCAATTCCAACTACCAATGCAAGATTCCCCACATTTGTCTCCTTCCATAATTAATACTATCCCGGTTCAGTTCTGTTATTTTCCTCCTCACTGAACCGGTCCATGTTACTAGGCTCAACCAAATGTAATTGCATTTTTGGTTCCCATTCCATGTATTTTTTTCTCTGAAAATTCAGAGCTAGTTTTTTCCCCATGAGATCTATTCAGAAAGTGGTTTGAAGGGGGAAATTAGTTAAGAGAAACAACTTATTTATAATAATAACATTAATAATAATAAGAAAAAATGGCAGGAGGAGCCGATCCTGGTGCAAGGGAGTTGGATCAAACACCCACATGGGCTGTGGCTTTGGTCTGTGCAGTTATTGTTCTTATTTCCATTTTATTGGAAAAGGTTCTTCATGCTGTTGGAGAGGTATTTTTTACATATCATCCTTTTTTTTTACGTATAAATTTTTATTTATGTGATTCTTTCTTGAATTTCCCTTTCATATTTTGGTCATAGAATTCTCAAAAAGATAAGTTTTAAACAATTACATTGAGAGAACTACAAAATGTTGTCCTTTAGCAGAAAATAATGAGGTTCGTANGATTTATATATAAAATCCTTTTTTCCCTTACATGTACAATTTTATATTCCAAATTTATTATGTAATTCTTTCTTGAATTTCCCTTCCATGTTATGGTCATAGAATTCTCAAAAAGATAAGTTTTAAAGAAATACATTGAGAGAAGTATAAAATGTTGTCCTTTAGCAGAAAATAATGAGGTCATACATCGAGCTAATAGTTTTGAATACATTCATATCACATAGAAGTTGATTCTCTAGCAATTGATATATGATATGTTACATTGTTTGTTATTTTGAAATGCAGACATTTGAGAGAAGACGAAAGAGCGCGTTGGTGGAAGCGCTGGAGAAGATTAAGGGTGGTAAGGGTTTTTGTAATAATTAACTTACCAAATTTTTACAATCAAGAAATTAGGAGGGGTTTAACTAATTAATGATTCCCTCATTATTAATGGTTTTTAATCTTGTTGTAGAGCTTATGGTTCTGGGTTTTATATCGTTGCTTCTGACGTTCGGACAAAACTACATTTCCAAAATATGCATACCTGTAAGGGTTGCAAACACTATGTTGCCTTGTCCTGCTCAGCACGGACACGGACATGGACATGGACATGGTCATACCGATACAGGAGAACATCATCGAAGGCTTCTATGGGACCATTTTAGGATATTAGCAGCTGATAGTCCTGCCAGAGCCTGTAAGCCTGTGAGTACCTTTTCTTGGATTAAAACTTATAGTATATAGAGCGATATAGATACTCAAGATTTATATAGTCGAATACAACTTCTTGGCATTCGGGTGCAATTGTTGTGTATTCACTAATAGTGTAAGTAATTATACCATCAATGTAATTTAGTTTGTTGTAACAAGCAGTGGCGAAGCTACATGGTTATAAGGGTGGTCAGTTGATCACCCTTCGTCGAAAACCTGCACTGTGTATATAGGTAAAATATTACGTTTTAGAGGTATATAACACATATTGAACACTCTTTGTTGGGTTTGTTTTTTTACTTCTTTCAAATTTGAATACCATTTGGTAAATTTCTAACTTCGCCACCGGTAACAGGTAAGTTACCTTATTTTCTAGGTTACAAATCCCATACATACGATTACCTGTAATTATTTTTTAGGTAGCCTGATTGTGAAATCTTTTTTACACTTAAGTTAATTCTTCTTTTTGTGCACCTCGATTATCGAGTGATATTTGCCCAAATACCGGGTGATTCTACCCGCAAATGCCTAGGCAAATGAAAAAAAATCACCTACCTTTTTTGGTCTATGTTGGAATTTAAACTCCGACAATTCATTAACCGGCACACCTAGTGACGTACCTTTTGCATGATTTAACTAACTTGACTACTAAATTTCATCTGCTTAGTAGTAACATGCTAACATCCTTCTCATTTTCTTCTACTCCGTTATCTGCTTCTATAAATCATCAGTAAGTTGTTACCAAATTTATTTTGATACTGAAGTATACTGGGTTATCATTGATTAAACCAAGAAGGTTATGGACTTATAATTAACTCATTTTCCTTTTTGCTTAGATTGCTTAAATAAATGTTCCTCAGAAAATATACAGGCTAACAGTAATCACATTGACAGGGTCACGTTCCACTAATATCCCTCAATGGTTTGCATCAGCTACACATCTTCATATTCTTTTTGGCCGTGTTCCACGTTATTTACAGTGCCATTACTATGCTTCTTGGAAGATTAAAGGTGAGAGTTTTCCCGCACTTTCAGTGTAACGAGCACAAAGTTTTACCGTTTTAGGTCTATCAAAAATATCGTTGCTTCCTGTGGTTGAAACTTTGTTTGAGAATCAAGACTGGTTTCCCAACCCTGAGACACCTTCACAATGTTAATTTCACTTCCGCTCATGTACTAAATGCTTGAGCATTATTCAGAGACTAAACTTTATCATTGTGGTATGCAGATTCGAGAGTGGAAAGAATGGGAAAAGGAAGTTGAGCATGATTATGAAGCATCCAATGGTATGGCGTGAAATTATCATGATCTAAATTCTTTTTGTTTCTTCTATGCCCTAGTTTTATGCAGGCACTAGATAGTTGATGAGGTAGCTTATTGTTAGGAAAAACTAATCTTGAAATTCTAGAACTACTAGGTGTCGTGTTCTATGATATTCGTGTAATTTTTAGGATATCTATGTGGGTGCATGATTCTTATGTTATTTAAGTGTGGATTTTGTGTTTTTAATGTGATCAAGTTCATAATTTGTGTATATATGTGAAAATGGTTTGTAAGAAGTAAGCTGAGAAGAGACGCCTATAAACCTATGAATACCCCTTTGTCCTTGTCATTTGGCAATCAAGTGAGTTGCAAAGAGTTCTCTCACTAACAAAGTATTCTCCTCTAGCAGTTCTCTTCCTGTAACAAAGTAGTGTAGAGCCAAAAGTCCTCGGAATAGAAACAAGAGTGCTGAACAAAATAGAGAGATGGACCACTTGGTTTCTAATTCCGCGGAGTCACAAAGAGAATTATGAAAATTTGGTGTCTTTGCATGAAAGCAATACTTGGCTGTGCAGAAAATAGTTGAACTGGGGCTTGAGAAGCCCGATAATGAGGACATTTGGCCTCAATATGAGAAGGATATTTTGGAAAAGACAAGAAAAAAGAATCAACAAGTCTCACTCTCAAGTCTCATCCATCAATATTTGGGTGATACTATGTTTGAGAAGGCGGCCAATACAACCACCTCAGAGGAAACTTGGGAGGTTTTGCAAAATTATCTTTAATGAGTGGACAAGGTGAAGAAGGTAAGGCTTCAATCTTTAAGGGGTATTTTGAAGCTTTAAGAATTCAATTCAATTTTGGATTATTGTTCAAGGATGACGGCCTTTTGAAATAAATTGAAAAGATATGGATCAGATAAAGTAGAAAACATTCATGAACATCCTTCGTTCTTTGACGAGCAACTTTGAAGGATGATCGAGGTGAAAAAGATCAATAGAGGATATGGATAAACGTACTATTGTTGTCGAAGAGGAAGATATAATGGTAACAAATCCAACAATGAGGAGAAAACCTAATAATCATTTAGAGGTCGTGGTCATGAACGGGAAGAGGAAGAGGTCGTGGTTACTAGCAAGAAGCAGAGGGAAACAGAGGTATGACAAATCTCAGATTGAATGCTTTAGTTGTCATAAATTTGGTTATCACTCCTAAGACTGTCGT